GGGAGTTTGAACTATAGCTCATATAGGCCAAGGGAAACCAACTCACACATATATGGACGTTTCCCAAAAGAGGGGGACCCGATATAGACTCCCCAAGAAGGTACCCGAATTTTTGGGAGGCCCCTAAACCCTAAACCCTTAAACCCTAAAACCCTAAACCCTAAAACCCTAAAACCCTAAACCCTATGTGGCCCAGTGAAACCAACTCAAAGAGCTGCCAACTAGCTACTTGACATGAAGCCTGATCGACCACCTGGCCCAGTCGTAAGGCATCACTTGGGGCTGCAATAGAGTGAAGGGTTTCTCTAGGGATATAGGGTTTAGGGTTTAGGAGCTTTGACAATTCTTTGGGGTTTACTATACCAAACATGCAAAAAGCCTGAAGAGACTACAGAGTAATGGGTTACCTCAGGATATTTCGGGCATGTGCGGGTATATACGGTTTGGGGTTTCGGATCTGGGGTTTCTGGCAGTTTGGGGTGGTCCGTAGTTAGGGGGTCCTTATATGAATAAGACCATATAATCTATTTGTGCGCATCTAAAGGTTCTTCAGTTTTAAACTATCATACTGTTGATTTATGAACCCTTCACGATCTGTAATTCCCAAGATTGAGGGTTCTGCAAGTGGTGCAGGATTTCTGCTATCAACCCTCAGACTACCATGGCTTCCGCAACCCTAAACCATAAACTTTAGTTTTTGACCCCGCTCGCACCTTTCCTGGTACAAGCTTCAGCTGGGTCTTTGGGGTTCAGGGTTTAGGGCTGCTTCAGGCCTTTCCAAGCCCCATGCAATGCCCGGACGGAAGGAACTGGGACAAAAATCAGTGGAACGCTTGTTGCGCCTGGCGCAAGCGCCTGGACTCCACCATGCCAGGACCTGCCTATGGTGGAGGCTGCCCAGCAACTAGACTAGGGGTTATATAGGGGTTATAAGAGCTGCGAAGTATGAAATGTCAGGACTGCTCAACAAGTGTCTGGCACGGCGAAGTGCAGGCCAAGGAAACAGCTGCTCGCCCGTGCCTGGAGCCTTTGCGAGGACCATCGTCTTAAGCGCAAGAACTGCATCTGACGGACTTGCAGCCGCAAAGAGAAAAATAAGACGCTTCCGGATGCGCCAACGCCCACCCCGTCTTGCTGGGCATGCCAAGCTGTGAACAGGTAAGATTCAAACTTCAGTGGACTACCGATATCCATTGCGCAGTGGGAGGCCCCCAGCAAGGCGTTTGATGAGTGCTCCGATAACAAAAAGCAGCTTCTGTACCTTGCACTCCTAGGTGCAGAGGTCGCTGCTAGCATCTTTCCTACGTTGACCTAGGTGGAGGGCACAGGCGAGCTGTTTGCCACTCCTTTATGGACAAGCAGTGATTCTGTCAAACGATTTTATCATTCGTGGCACGCGTCCATTGACAGTCCGTGGCACGAGCATGTTGCAAACTGGTGTTGCAACGAAATTAGGTCAAGTGTCATTATCGGAGAGAACTCCTCTGAAGCTCACAGCATGGACAGAGCAAGAAGGCATGCTCTGCATTGCCGCGCGTCTGCGTCATCCAGGAGGACACAAGAGGGTTGCTCAAATTAGGCTTCCTTTCTGGGATCCCACATCCCACCTACAGGATGTCGTGCTAAGAGTCCCTCTTGATGCTTCTATACGGTGCCGAGAAAAGCTGGCCATGAACTTGCAAACTATCCACGTAGAAGCGACACCAGTCGCAACGCGCAGCGGCGACAAAGCAGAGCATGAGGCTATGCACATATGGGCCGAACGAGGGAAACGAAGCAAGTGTTCAAGCGCAGCTACTTTGTGACCCCAATAAGGGAATCGTAATTTGGGAAAATGTCCTAAACTGAGTAACAAGTATCCAGCTACTCTCTCCAAATTCCTCAGGAAGTGGAGTGGAGCAGGAAACGTGGAACTGAGACTGCGCTACAGATTTATTTATAGCATAGGGTCCCTTTAAAGGGGTTAAAGGGGTTATAGGGGATATATAGGAATATTCGAGGACTATATAGGGGTATATAGGGCATTCCTCGCAAAAGCGAGACTTCTTGCCCTGAGCTCAAAACATCTCTTCGCTTCCATCGCATCCCGGGAAATGCAAGATCATGGCTCGATGATGCAGATACTCCGCACCTGGATATGAGAGCGTCCACTGTTGTTTGCACAAAGACCCTTCGAAAGCTGTTTGCCACTCCCGTATGTTGGCATAGCAACAGTTTGCACCCCCAAAGTTCAAAGGTTCAGGCTGATCAGGTCTTGCTAGGAGCAGCTAGGCCTCCGACGCTGTCAAGCGAGTTTGACACACCAGTGATTCTGATGCTGATGTGTCTCGATCTCAATGCCTGCTAGTGGCACCAGGAATCAAAGGCCTAAACCCTAAACCCTAAAACGCGTGTGAGTTTGTCATCATAGGGGTAAGGTTGGGGCCCCTAAAGAGACGTATGGATTAGGCGGGGATTCTGCAAATCCTTCTCTATCATTTAGGATCCTGTTGTGAAGCACCCATAAAAGAGATCAGAAGAGTAGTTTCACCAGTGGATTGCATTCTTCTTATGCAAGACGACGGAAACGAGAATACAATCTTACTGTAAACTTGTTGAACACGCCCTACACCCAAAATCCTACAATGCCACATATATTGCTGATGCTTCAGAAGCCCGAATTACCTGAGTTTTACAAAAAAATCTAGTATCAAGCATACACCCTCCGCCCAGGCCTGGTATGGACATCAACCACTTCTTGAGGCTGCCGTCGTTGCGCCTCGGGAGCAGCGTGAAGGGTTTGAGAGTTTGGCGTTTGGAGCGTAATTAGGGTGAAGGATAGCAGTCATGGTACCGCGGATAGAAAAGCTTGCACCACTAAAGCTACGTATTTGAGATGCAGCGTGGTTCAGGGTTTCTTCCCACCGCCGTAGTGATGGCAACGGAGTAGGGCTGCTCGTCTGGCAGTATTGACGAAGCAATACCAATACTTGAGGTGCGCGGCGAGGCAGCCCATCAGCGCACGGCACACGCTCCAAAATAAATCCACGGAAAGCTGCATGCCGTAGCACGGATGTGGAATCTCTTCTGAAAGCGATCTGTCTTACCAGGGACATTGAAGGCTTACACAGGGACGTATGGATTTCACAAAACAGAAACATGTTTCGTTCATGTTCCATGTCTCCTGATCTGCTGCCACGCGCCCCTATTGATTACCATGCACTACCAGGGGTCCCTAATACGGGCTCCTAAACTACAAATTTGTTGCGCTCCCCTTTGATGTCTAGATGCAAACGGACCGCCGCAGTGGCATGCTGCGGGAAGCGGATCCGCGCATGGCGCATGTTTTCATGTGAACTATATATAGTCTAAACTCCTGGTACCCCCCTTAATATCCCCTATATAATCCCCTATATAACCCCTTTAAGGAGTTTAGACTATGGCTCATGTCAATGGAAACGGAACAACCCCTAAACCGCAGGAGACCGCACGAACGCACACTGGCAAGATAAGACGAGTTTAGGGGTTTAGGGTTTTAGGGTTTTAGGTTTAGGGTTTAGGGTTTAGGGTTTAGGGTTTAGGGTTTAGGGTGACAGCAAAGGTAAAAAGGCATGGACCACCAACCCACCGCTCTAGCCCATCGTTATAGAATCCAGAATGGTGCATGGGATGACTTACTGGTTCTTAGTAGGGAATAAGGGAATATAACCCCTGTATAACCCCTATATCATGTACTGCCACATTCTCTACTACCCCTACACCCCAAAGCCTAAACTCTGAAGCCTAGATACTCTCATGTTCCTTACTAAGGGACTAAGAAGATGAGGGTTCTTCCTAGAAGAGCATGATTGACGAGACATGCTCACATCGCTCACCCTCAAACGCAGCGTGGTGCGCAAGTACAGTGGCCATTTTCAAATTTACTTACTAGTTAGCAAATGGATCATACAAGTATTACATGAGATTATATTCCCTTTTCCAACTTTTATTGATACAAACATTCATATATGAGGGTTTCCCCAAATTCGGGGCACATTTTTGGGGGGTCCCAAAAACAAGGGCTGTCATATTTTGGGGTCTATATTAGGGTCCCCTGCTTTTCGGAAACCACTATATGTATAACATATGTGCATGATGCACACACTGAGCACCTTGCCTGCTGTTTTCTCGAACGTGCGTGTTGAAGCTGGGAGCAATCTGAGGAGTGCGCCAACGTTTGGGGAGCTAATCTAGGGGTTGCAGCTCAAATCCCTAAACCCTGTATGACCATATAACCCTGTGTATATCCTTATATAACCCCTATATAACCCCTATCTTCAGGCTTCTATCTGGGTTCAACGGATTTCGATTGAAACTGGAACCTTCCAAGTCCGCAAGGCAGAGCTGGTATCACGAATGCGCGTCCGAGCGACAAGTGGAAGTGGGTTTAGGGTTTAGGGTTTAGGGTTTAGGGCTTAAGATCCAAAGAAGACATGAACGGGTCACAAGGTACTACCAAAACATCGTCTCCGAACCAGCGTGCGTCTTGAATAGCACATTAAGAATTTTGAAAAGGGTATTAAGGGGTTTAGGGTTTAGGGGTTTAGGGTTTAGCCTTGCGGAGTTTGGATCTCTATGATGATCCATCTTTCTCCACATCCCCACCTCCGATAGTGATAGTGCCTATATTTAATCCCTCACTCCCCCGACGTACTGGCAAGTAGTAGCTGTAGGTGTACATATATATATATATACAATGATAGTTTCCTAAAATAGCAGGACCCCAAGAAAGACCCCAGCATAGGATAATCCCCTGATTTTGGGAAATTCTAATCCCTAATCCCTAAACCCTATATGACCCTATATAACCCTATGTAGAACTGTATACCCCCATAGAAGCCCTGTACCCCATATAATGTTTGCGTCCATAGCTTCGAGGAAGGTTACAAGGAGCCTTTCCAGCAAGCCACACACCGTCGACAGAGCCTCCCTTGCCTGCGGAATCACTTGGTTTCGGGTTTAGGGTTCAGGGTTTAGGGCTTAATATATGGCAGTTTCTCTAAATAGGGGAAACCCAATATAGACCCTAAACCCTAAACCCCTATATGGGAAGCCCCAAAGTCAAAGAGGGACCAACCCCCATATAGTGATATTAGTTGAGGGTGTAGGGTCTAGGGTTTAGGATTTAGGTTGAGGGGCTTAGAGGTTATAGCGTTCAGCTGTTTGGATTCATAGGTCTCAGGGCTCTCAGTGTACACGGTTTTGGGCTTATAGGGTTCGAGTACCCCAGTAGCGAGCAGAATGGGCGGAATAGGGTTCAAGGTTTAGGGTTTAAGGCTTACGGTTGAGGGTTTAGGGCTTAGGCATCACAACTCGACTTACCAGATGGCCCCGGCACCCCAAACATACCCCCCCCCCC